TGTGTGTGGGATGTTGTGGGGTGAAAATCCATTTACTAGCAAGAAGTGGAGCATGTTGCACAGCCTGTGAAAAAGACTGGGAACTCGTTAACTGGTTCTTGTACTTTGGGTGTATAATCTCTAAGCAAGAACTGGATGTGTACAGGAGATCTGGTTTGGATCTTTGAGGTATTTGCTCTGCCTTTGTTAAATAGGTGCAGTCTGATTTCACTAATTTCATGATTGTGTCTGAAATTGTCGAAAAAGAATTGCTGAAAAATCTCAACAATAATCAACACTACAAAAATTGCAGCTTTTAGTAGTTCTGATATTTTTATTAACTGAAAAGCTGTAATATCATTCAAATTGCAATTTCTTCTCTGCTTGCAGTAGAATGTTTGCATTATATACGTTTTTAGAGCTTCAGCTGTATATTTAAATAATTTGACCAAAAAAATTCTTGGGAACACTGATTTCTCAGAAGCATTACAGCCAATGAAAACCTGTGAGAGTTAAAAAGAAAAACAACAAACCTTGAAAAGAGGAAGCTGAACAGGAAGAGTTGATTGCTGCTGCTGTCTGGGCTGTCAGGAGGGAGAGAGGCTTCAACTTCTTTCTAATTAGGTTTTACTTTTCTGCAAACCTTCAGAAATGCACTGTTTTCTAAGACGAACCGTAAAATAATGCACATCTGAGCCTACTAATGGCAACAAGTCTTTAAAAATGGTGCAAATGGTTATGTAAAAAAACCCCTAAAACTGGAGGGGATGCTGATACAAGTTTGTGAATTTACCCATGTCTGGCATGTACTTTGTGCTATTCAGGGATTAATCAGTGAATCTCTTGAAATCAATAGCATCCACTGATTCATGTTTGTGAAGTCTAAAACATCCTTACATCTCTGTCAGTAAATAAAAATACTAATTTTCTTCATTTTGGTAAAGAGTTTCTGGGAAATGACGACAGAAAAATTAGCATGAGTAATTTCTCTTTTTCCTTGACTTGCGCAGTTATTAGGCAGTGCTACACCACCAACAGCATTTGGGTGTATATAGTCAGAGTTGTAAGCGTTTGAAAGGAGTAGGAGACAGGGAGTATTTGTGACCTGTAGAGCAGGAGGAGCTCAAACACATGAAACTTTTCTGTTTGGGAAATCTTCTGCAGCACTTTGTTTACTGAAGTACTACATAGCAACACTGAGGTATGTTAAAATGCACTTTTTCTATATCCCAAACATCACAGAGGGTTTGACTTACCACCCTCTGCCTTGTCAATGGCTGGTCTCATATTATCTTGTGACTTCTGAAATATTAATCCCATCCTTTCCTGCCTGTATTATTTTTTTAGTTGGCTTTTTTTCTTTTTTTTTTGTTTTTTTTTTTTCTTTAAGCAGTGAAAGCTAGGGTAGAGCAAGATGAAAGCAGTAGCAAAGTAACAAAAATCATCTTCAAGGAAGTTAGCAGCAATCTTTCTGCCCTCCCCCTTTTGCTCAACTCTCTGACTGCCGTACCCCCCAGCCAGCCGTGCTAGCAGCTCTTGGCCGTCGCGATGGGCTGATGCTGGTGGGGAGCAGCTCTCCTGCCCCTGGGCAAAGGATGTCAATAAAATGGAATACATTTGCTGAAGTACCTCAAATAACAGTGAAGCTAGTGGGACTAAAGAATTGGGAGGTAAGAGCTTCGTGGTTATTTCAGAGCCGGATCTGCTGCAGCGCACGGTCTGTTATTTTGGGCCCAGCGACCGAGTTGCGGTACCCGTCGTGTCTGTTGGTGCGCGTCGGTGCAGGGTCAGCCGTGAAGCCATGCTTCAAGTCACACTGGCAGCTCCGATAGTGCAGGAAAATGGTTTTGGTTTTACAATCCTTTTGTTAAAAAAAACTTCCAGTAACTGTCACAGAAAAAAAAAATATCTCATTTTGAGATCTTCAGCGGTATGGCTGGCATCCCGTGTATGAAGCTTGCTGTTTCCTCCTTGAAAGCGGTTCACCGGTTTCCTGTTTTCCCTGGGGTTGTTCAGCTTTTATTAAAATGTTTTATACAATGATTTTATGAAGACAGGGTGTTACTCCAGACTCTAGAATTACTGGGCTTTGCGGTAAATATGAGGTACATGAATCTCCTTTCAGGAGAACCTCAGGTGTCAACTTGGTACCATCGACCAGGGACTAAACTGCAGAGTTTTAGTTCTTGAATCCTGCCAGGCTGGACACGGTTAAAGGTGGGCAGGTCAGCAGATGGAGGAGGGGGCTGTGGAGGTTCACCTGGGGTGGTGATGTGCAGACTCTTCCTGGCAGGTTTTCTGCTTCAGACAGGATTATTCCATATGATAATGCTCCTGGTTTTGCTTATTTGCAGAACAAAATAGTATTTGGGGCCAGTAAATCAACTTTCTGTTTATGAGGCTTTGCAGCAAGGCACTCGACGCTGGCATTTTGCCTGGGGTGTGTTGGGAGAGGGGAGACCTTAGGCTGAGTTACTAATTATTTGAGTGTGTCATCAACGGCTCAGAATTTTCCCTCTGACTGCAGAGCCCAATACCTCTTTTAACTGTTTCATGGTGGTTGCTCGCATGGGCTGCTCTGCTCTGTGACAATATTTAGCAACAGGCATGTGGCATATAAACAACAAAATGCCAAGATAAGCTTACAGAAACCTTAACCAATTTCTCGTTAAGCTTCTCTTTCAGATGCCATAAAATCTGCTGTAACAGTTAAAATGCAGATCTGGAACTAAATTGTATGGTAAACATTTTCTAGAGTGGTACACAGAAAGACAAGGAGTTGCTATAATTCAAATTTGGAATTTTTCTGTGGAGTTTTCTGTAAAAATTGTTTGCAAGAATTCCAAATCCACAAAAGGCTGCAGGGAAAAATGTTTCAAATTTTTAGTATTTAGCATTTTCTATCTCAGGTAGCAATAGAAAGATAAGCAAAAACTACTAAAAGTTGGAGGAGCTGGCTGTGCTTGTCATCTTTCCAAAGCTGAGTAGCCCATTTCCCCAAAAAGCTTCTCATAGTTAGTTGGGGGTTTATGAAACTGTTGAAAAAATTGCTAGTCAGAAGGAAAACGGAGATTGAAATATTCTGGCAGTGATGCCGTACAGGCACTGAGGAAGAGCTTGTGTTCTCCATTGAAAATGCAGTTGCAAAGCATGAGTCTTATGGGTTGGTCTTAAAACTCAACTGTGCTGAAAGTTCGATACACATTACACGTGGTGTATATACTTTAATTTATTCAAAGTGCTGAAGAGATTGATGAGAGCCCAGGAGAAGAAGAGGTAAGTCATTAAACCAAGTAAATATAAAACAAAGGTGGAAGAAAATAGTTGCCTTCAGAACAGACTCACTTTGGTCTCTGCTGGTGCGATACCTGTGCAGAAGGCTGTGTGAGCCAGTAGTATGTTAATCCACATCCACGGGGGCTGTAAGCTGATTTTTTTAACAGACCTGTGCAGACACATGACTATTGTTAAGGTGTGCACCGATCGATATCGTCGTAGTGCCAAAGGCAAACACGGAAGAATTTGTAACTAGAGAATAGATTTCTGCGAAGTAACGAGGCATTTGCTCATTTTCTCTCGGCAGGAAAAAGAGAAAGATAAAGAGAAGACTAAAGAGAAGGACAAAGATTCCAAGGAGAAGGAAAAAGATAAGAAGCTGTTAAACGGACATCTCTTCACTGCAACTTCTGTTGTAGCCCAAGCAACCTGTTACCACTGTATGAAACCTTTCAATAAGGATTCGTACTACTGTGCAAGTAAGTTGGGGTTTCCCCCCCCCGCTTCCTTTCATTTTTCATGAAATCTGACAGGAGAAATGCGAACCTTACGCTTTATTTTCCTCTTGCTTAAGGATGTGAGGTGGGAGGGAGATTTTGGAGATAGTGATTTATGGAGTAGGGTGTTGCCTTATGGAAGCTGGACTGAAACGTGTTGTGGCTGCAAGGAGGTGTCCTGCAACCTCTTTCCTAGCCTGTGCTTGGACGTTGCAGCATCCCATGGGTTTTTCTGCCCGTGCTTGTTAGGATGTGTCGGTCAGCTGCAGGACTTTGGTTATTTCAGCTGTATGTTACGGCTTGGGGCTGAGGTGCTTTGTTAAGATGGATGGAGATCAGGGAAAGCCAGCTTGGATCATGGCTTTTATTTCTTTTTATATCCCACCCACCTGTAGTATATTGCTTTAGTTCTCTGAAACACTGCTTTGGTGAGCCCTCGGTGAGAGCAGCACGATACAAAAAAGAAATACTAACCCTTTTCTCCCTTTATGAAATTGCATCACAGGTCAAATGGCAACTACCTGTATGCATGTGAAGTATGTGCAGTGCAGTGCAGGCAGGAACGGAACCACAGCAGAGGGTTTCTGTGAGATCGGTTATTTTGTTCTCTTTTCTTATCAGATGGTTTCTCATGCCTGTGGCTCGATAAGGTCAGCAGTTTGTGTGGTCAAGACCAGAATGGTTGCTGGTTTATGCAGTGACCCAAAGCTAGAGAATATGCAGAGGAAATGTCTTTTTCCCACTGCAGCTCAGGACTTTCCCTTCTTCACGATTAGTAATATTGTTTTTCTCCACTAGCCTAGAGATGAGTCGAAGCTTGTATGGGAATTGCTCCCAGGCTGGGGCAGGAGGCTCTGTTTCTGTTCTCGTAGATAAGCAGTGTATAAAACATCGCCAGTGAGCAGGGGAAGGAGCACCCAACTGAATCCCAAATGGGAGTTTTGAGTTTCCTGGAAGAGAAGATATTTCAGTGAAGTCGTTTGCATGAGGCATGCTCTGTCAGCCTGATGGGAAATGGAAAACATCAACAATTATAAGCTTTCCCCACTTTCTTAACACCTTCTGAAGCCAGTTAGAAAATCAAATATATCTCGATTTAAGTCTCTACATCCTAATGAGTTAAAATAATCCAATAACGTCATAGGTTTTTTGCATAGACGTTCTTTCCTTATTTTTCAAGGTACAACAGAAAATTATTGTAAGTTTTCTGCATTGGCCAGAGAATGAATGCCACAAGGAAGGTTTGGTCAGGGCCCAGGTTGTAAGTTCACATCGGAGAGTGGTCCTTTTTCCCATCTCATCTTAAAATCAGCCATCAAAAGTCTTGGAAATGACTGATAACCAGCAGCAGTGGCTCTGTTGTTCCTGTGCTGTTGTAGACGACTTTTTTCCTACGGAAGTGACAGTGCTTCACTGCTGCCATCACTGCTCTGTCTCGCCTGTGGATGACTTTTTCTTAATGCCTTTTAAAGTGCTGGATCATTTTAAATCAATGCCTGAACTTTTCAATGACGCCCCCAGCTTCCTGAAACAGGTAGTCAGTGCTGAAAGATTTAGCATGCTCTAAAACAAATGGGCAAGTAAAAAAATCCTAATTTTTAATAGTGGTCTGCCTGGTCTTTTTTATTTTTTATGATCAGTGATGGAGGAAAGAAGCTTTTTGGGGTTTTATATTATTAATGATATAGAGGAGTCAGAGTAACTTCCTGCCTGGTGAAGAGTTGGATTGGAGGAATAAAGTCACTGAAACCAGATTTTTCGATCTCAAAAATCAAAACGCTTTAGTGCTAGATGGTACATACTAAAGAGCTGTCTTGGGGCTTTCAAGGCTTGAGTGTGACTTTAATGATTCTGTATTGTCTCCCTGCCTCTTTCCATGCACCAGAAGCATGTTCTCTTCCTTGTTTGATCTGAAAAATGATACTGCTCGTGGGCTTTTGCAAGAGCATGCAGGTTTGTTTCTTCTGTCTCACGGAATTTGCACAGGAATTGTGAGACATCAACAGAATACCAACGCCCTATGGCCTTAACCTTACCTCTCTCAGAATATCAGAATTATTACTGGCTTTTATTAAGTAGGCCCAAATGTAAGAAATTTCAGGAATGTGAGCTTATTTTGTCATTCTGGGCATGGAATTTTTTCCTTTCCTATTTCTTCTAGAAATAATTCAGAACTATATGCTTACAGTGCAGTGTACACTTAAAATATGATTCATGATCTGTGTGAATATGTGTTTTCATGAGTGGAAACAACAGGTTTTCTCTAAGCTGCTGAATCTCATCTGAGAGCATTTGAGTTGTGATCTTTCATAGAATCATTTAGGTTGGAAAAGACCTTTAAGATCACAATCCCAGTTATCAATTATTATGAAAAAAGCAGGTTTAATCATCATCTGCTCGCAGAGATCATGGGCAGACTCAGGATATTCCAAAAAAGAATATGGAGCAAAAGAATACATGCTTTTGCTCCAGCATATATGCAGTAAAGGGTGGTGTTAAGGAATGATGCTCTTTGCACTGGTAAATGTTGTAGTTTTGGACCAAAACAGTGGCTTCAGTCTAGTTTTCCGCAGGAAGTCCAAACCTCATGGGCACGGTCACCTGGCAGGTGCTCCTGTTACTTTTTTCTGATAATTCTGTAGTACAGTGGCACTTGGTTCCTGTACTGACAGGTCTGAGTTTATGTAAATGAATTTCCATGTGCTTTTCCTGTCTTTTGAATCTTATAATCCTCGTCTTGATAAGAACAGTATTTGTGTTTTCAGAGAAAATATAATTGGCAATTGGTTTCTGTCTCCTACATCTGCTTTCCAGCTTACTTTTTCTCTCAGAGGAATGACTCTCTTTTTTTCTTTTTTTTTTCTTTTTTTTTTTTAAGACCTATTAGGACCCTGGTGACTCAACCTTGCATTGATTTTTAAACAGAATTTCCCGTTAAATTCCATGAGGAAATCTTGTTAACAAACAAAGGGCTAATTATCCAGGAAAGCAGCCTGTTTCTCAGTATCTGTAGCTACTCATGTAAACCACAATGATGCCTGAAAGTTGTAATTCTCAGTTGTGCAAGATAACAGTTCAGATGACAAACGGCAAAAACTGACCTGTTTACTGTGGGGGTTTTGTTTAATTGGTGGTTGTTTTTTTTACTTTTGACAGACTGCAATGCAATTGTTCACAAAGGCTGTAAGGAGAGTTTTGCTTCCTGTGCAAAGGTCAAAATGAAGGTAAGAGATTTCATCTACTCTTCTGAATAAACAAAAAAGTTTAAATGATTTAGCATGCAGATATATAACATCTTCTACCGTACATCCCAAAGGTTCCAGCTTGTTGGAAAGTACTTCAGCCCCTGTGAATAATTTCTCTCTGGGCTCTCCTGAAATTCTCCAGAGCCACATGTCAATACAGTAGTTGTCCCTGAGACTCCGTGAATGCTCCGGGTCAGCGCCACGGGGTGTTTGTTGGCAGCAAATTCCATGTGTTGTTCCCTGCAGTACACAGGGACCTCGTGGTGAGATGGTCTGTCCTATGTTTCAATTTTAAAAAACCCACTTCAGTGGCAAAATTCAGGGGTGTCCAGCACCCTTAAATGCCTTATCTCTTAATTTTCAAATGCTGCATCCTATAATGCAGCACCATGTGTATATAAGGCATAATGAAAACTATTAAATATGTGTGTTTTTTATGAGGAACGCGCAGAATTTGTGCTTGCCCCAAATGTGAGGAACTGCTTCTGCAGTATGGTTCTCCAAGCTAGTTAATGTTTATACAATTTACAATTCTCAGTTCTCTTCAGTATTGTCAGCAGTTTCTGTTCTCATTTTCCTATTTGCTGCACAGTTCTCCATCTGTTATTTTGCACGTTTCATTGATGGCAACTGGGGGGGAAGCATGTGTGTGTTCATACATATATGTGTGTGTGTGTGTATATATATATAAAAAATATGCATATAGCCAACAACTGATCTGTTCTAAGAAGATTTAGAAAAAACATAGCTTTTTTATTTTAGTTATGTGTCACAGCCTGATGGGAGAAGGGAGGAAGAAATTACAGTGAATTTCATTTTTCTTTCAGCCGCAGAGAGGGATGCTGCAGGCCCATGATACCTCTTCATTACCCACAGTAACCATGAGAAACAAAAGTAAGAAAATTTTCCTTGCCCTCTGCTTTGGTGGTGGTCCGTATCTGCTGTTCTTAACTGTTCTGACAACTAATATTCGATATTATGAAAGATAGGCATTCAACAAAGCAGGGATGAGAGCATCTTCTGTGCATGATAAGCAATGTTTGAGATTTCAGAAGCTGTACTGAAGTTGCACAGAGTTCATCCACTTCTGCAGCGTCCATGTAGCTTTAAGCAAATGTAAAGTCAGATTTAGAATTAACTACTTGACTGGAGCTTGCTGAAGGCCTACAGCTGATAAGTCCACAAAATCTGGAAGACACAGCCTATGTCCATGGGTGTCTGACATTGGAAAGAATCCAACTATGAGTATTATGTTCACAGAAATTAAGATTGCAAGTGGAGAGGATGCTTGTTCAAAATACATTTTTTTCTTTTAATTAAATAGTCTTATGCTTTGAGGTAGTAAAAGCAGAAAGTTTAATTTTGAATGACAGACTTTTCCTGGTTGCACTGAGATATACGCTGTACTGCGGAGCTACCCGGTGTGACCGAGGGCAAAGAATAAGAGTGAAATACCCCACATGGGTTTTGTAGTGCCATGATTTGATAAGCTTATTTAGTGATAGCTTGGAACCACACTATATGATACAGAGGTACTCACTGTGGTATTTCTCATGAAATTCAGAGGTATCGCTCCAGAAAACAGACATGCATCTAAAGAAGAGAAAATCTGGAATTAATATGAAAAGATTAGTTAAAGGTATGTGACAGTATAATGAATAAGGATTAGCATTTCTCTGTTGTATGTACTAATAGAGAAACCTATCTCAAAAAGTTCAAGCAGAAGCAGGAAGATATATATAATCATAGGCCCAGGGAAATGAAAAAGCAACATAGTAGATTGCTACATGTGATTATTTATCAAATAAAATTAAATTCAGTTCCGCAAGCATATGTTTCTGGACTTGCAGCTCCCACCCAGATCTTTTAAGCGCAGTGCAGTGCAGTCAGATCTGCGCAGGGGTCGATGCTCTTCCCTTTTTACGGCTGTTTGTAACAGCTGAGATATCCTGGTGATGACTCTAGAAAGAAAAGGAAGTGAATTTTAGAGCCTGGCTTCTTTAAATCATCATCGTCGCAGTTAAGAACATGATTGCATGAGCTGACTTTTCTCTGACACTTCCCTTACAGGTTCACAACCAAAGGAGCGCCCTCGCTCTGCAATACTTGCTCCTGATGAAAACACCATAACCTCAATATTCAATAACAGGAGATCACAACAGACTACGGCACTTTCAAAAAGTGTCTCAATACAGAACATTGCAGGGTAAGGTTTCTCCCTGCGCGCATGAGTGTGTGTGTATCATCTGACGTTGCGAGCATAGAGCAGTTCAGATCTCATTAAAAATAAATTCATATACTGTGATTTGTGTTAAAGGTACAAAAGAGAATCACAAAACCAGAAATACCCATATTATATGTGATACCATCAGTTGTCTTCTGCACAATCAGATTGTCTGGGTTAGTTTAGTTATGGCATGAGTTCAGAGGCATCTGAGTTGGCCTGCTTATATTCAAGGCCACTTCACAGAGATGCTCTGGGCTCCAGGAGGAAATTCCCTTGCTTTGGGCTGGGTACTGTGCAAGCACACATCTGCGGCTCAGATATAGTATTAATTTTTGTGTCCATAACAATAGGGTGGAGGAACAGAGGTGCAGTCCTCGTGGTGTTTCAGTACTGCATTGTACATAATTAATTCCAAAAAAATCATAGAAGGAAATCTAATTTATAGTTACTACATTACGTGTGTATCAAGCAGTTCTACACACAGGGCAAGAGCATGGACTGGCATGTTCTGGACAGTTTATATGCCCTGGCTATTCATGGTGAAACTTATTTCAGTCCATTTTTCTGATCTTTCTCAGGGCTAGTGATAAAGATAGCCTTTTGTGTTGCATTTTTGCACTGCTTGCACCAAGGACAATGAGGATGGGAAATTTTTGTAAAATGAAAAGGAGTTATCCAAACCATAGAACCTCAGGAGTGATTCTTTATAGCAGAAGCACTGTCACTTAGAACTGTAGATCTTACAGCTTGTTGAGCCTCAATGGGTGGTTAGAAAACAATTAATAAAAGTACATTTCTGTACCTAACTGTGCAATGCTTGCTTTGGTTTTCAATTCATATTTAAAATGCATTTTTTCTGTGTATTTGAAAGTAAGTTTGGCTGGGTTTTTATGTCATAAGTGATATTCTGTGTTCTGTTTTTCTGCAGAGTTGGGAACGATGACAGCTTATTACACACTTGGAAATTCCTGTCGCAGTCAACAGACTCCTTACATAAAATCAGCCGGGTGAATGAATCCATGGAGTCACTGGTTGACGAAGGTAAGAGCTCCCCATGGCGTTTACAGTAATAGGAAGGTCTCAGTGCTGCTTTCCAGAAATAGAAAATCCATTTTGGCATTTCAGCAAGTGTTTTCCTTTTTAATGGACAATTCAAGTGCTTTTACTTTAATCTTAGAATATTAGTATGATACACTAAAACAAAGCCCCACATAGTAATTTCTTTAGGTTGCTGAATTGTGGGAAAGCGTTTAGAAGGTTTCAGTTACAGTTGAGTTACTTGGAATTTAACTCAGGAACAAACATTTCCTCTTTCATTCTGCACCTCTGGCCCATTCATACAGCCACAGGTTTTGCACTCTCGCTTTTTTCATGCTGATGTCTTGTGTTTTTTATTTTTCCTAGAGTGGGAAAGGAAGAAATGTATTGTTTAGTTTTGTGAGTTTGAAAGTGCAGTCAGTTAAATTCATTTCTTAAGTTTAAATAACTTTTATATATGGTACTTTTTTAGGATATAATCAGTATTTTTACATCTTAGTCAATATTTACCTGAAAAGAGCAGAATGCTTTTAATTTATTAAGGACTAAACAAAGACATGCTCAGGGTGAAAAGAGAAAATTTCCCAGTTCCTGCATAAATGAGCAATCTTTCTTAAAGATATATATGTGCATATGTGTTGCAGTTTTTAATTTAGCTGCAATGTTGTTGCATTGCAGATAAAGAATCCATTATCTTTTATCTGAGCTAGAATTTGGTCTATGTGAAAATCGTGAACTAGTTTTGTGCAACTAGCAAATAACTTTTAAAAGTGCTTTTCATAATCTGGTCCTTAGGTGGTGTAATTCCATATAATCACTTTTGTGTCCATAAACGAGAATGTGTGTGGTGTCTGGTATGACAGAGAAAGCCTAAACCTAAATGAATAGACAGGAATCTCAAACGAGATGTTACCCACATCTTAATGGCATTTACATTGCTTTGTGAAGGTGCAGACATGAACGAAGGACAGCTGATGGGAGACCTGGAATTAGATTCCAAGCAGCTGGAGGCAGAGTCCTGGAGCCAAGTAGTGGACAGCAAGTTCCTACAGCAGCAAAACAAAGATGTTGTCAAACGGCAAGATGTCATTTACGGTGAGAGGCGCCTGCATCTTAATTTTTCACTCATTGTAGATAGCTTCTTGATATACTCAGACACATGGATTTGGGAAGCTTTAGGTCAGTGAACAGGAACGTTGAGTTGGTTTCCTCAGAAGCCAAAGTCTCATTCTTGAAGTTCTCAGAAACATGATGTATTCTGTCAAAGCTTTCTTTCTGCCTTTCACATATCTGGAGGCCATCAAAAAAAGCCCAGAAATTGCCTCTCATTTGTCTGCTGATGACATTTGAACTCCATTCCAGCAGAGCAACGAGCTAGGAAGTCTTTTCCTGCTGGATGCAACAGCCATACTGTATGGCAAAAGCACACTACGTTGATGCTAGCAGTGAGGTGTTAGGAAGGAGCAGATAACAGTGCTGAAGGTTCAGACCTCAGCAGCAACGTCCAAAGCTCTTTATTGTGTAACTCCTCTGTCTCCCTGTTTCTCCCACACATGAAACTATTGATATTTCAAATACCTGACATTAAATTTTCTGAAGCCACTTAAAGAAGCCCAATTATGGAAGAACTTTCTAATGGCAGCTTTTCCTTGTACTGTACACCCATGTACTCTACAGTGACCTTGTTTTTGACCTTGTCCTCATCCTATACAGAGCTAATGCAGACAGAAATGCATCACGTCCGCACCCTGAAGATCATGAACGATGTATACAGTGCAGGGATGTTAAAGGAACTGCAGTACGATCAACAAGTTGTGGACAAGATCTTTCCCTGCCTGGAAAACTTGCTGCATATCCACAGTCACTTCTTCCAGCGGATTCTGGAAAGGAAGAAGGAGTCATTGGCAGACAAAAGTGAAAAGAACTTTGTTATCAAGAGGATAGGTGACATCCTGGTGAATCAAGTAAGTGCTGGAAAATGCTTGCACTTCTGAGAGCACAGCTGGAAACCAGGCACTCTTCCTTTCCCTCCTGTTTATGCCTGTTAGATAACCACAGCTGATGGCACTCTTCAGACATGTAAAAATCTCCACCTTTGCTTTTTGAAGCACTTTTTGTTCTTTCTGAGGAAGGTCTAATGATGAAAATTCATTTTGCTTATATCATGGGAGGAGAAGCATTCCCTGACAGGCACAGAATGGTTTGACCCGTAGCGTTGAGGGTAGGCAGTAGCCCACAGCGAAATAAGCCCGATGTGTTTCTTGGCTGAGTTACTGACCTGCTATTTAACTTCGGGTGGGTCATTTTACTTTTCTTTATCTGTGCTTTCTCCCTTCTTCTTTTTGTCTGTCTTGACTTTGTTGTTGTTGGCTTTTAATCCCTGTGAGGTAGAATCCCAAATTTTGCAGTGTGAACTCGGTGCAAGTCCCAAACTCAGCTCTTTACTTTCTAGAGATCTGCTTGCTTGGTTTAGGATGCTTTGGAGTAACTTGTTTTCATCAAGTTCTTTACAGACACTGGCAGGCACTGCTGGGATATCACGCCAGGAGCTCCATGCAAATTGGACCTCTGTGTTTCATGTCTTGCAGTTCTCCGGTGAGAATGCCAAGCGAATGAAGAAAACATATGGGAAATTCTGTGGGCATCACAATGAGGCAGTAAATAACTTCAAAGATCTGTACGCAAAGGACAAGCGGTTTCAGGCATTTGTCAAGGTAGGACCTGGTAGAACAGACATAGTCAATAGAAAAAGTATGTTCTTTCTGCACTCTGGTGAGCGTTTTGCTACAGAACTGAAATGTTCATCTTTGCTCCTCAGAAAAAAATGAGCAGCTCCCTGGTGAGGCGTCTTGGGATTTCTGAATGTATCTTGTTGGTAACACAGAGAATCACAAAGTACCCGGTCCTTTTACAAAGGATTCTGCAGTACACCAAAGGTAGGGACCAGTTCCTCTATTCCAAGTGTGTATTTGTTCCTCTGGTGTAAATTTCTTGGATCCTTTTCAGCTGAAGCAGATTTTCTTAGAATAGACCGACTAATTCAGTTGTCGTTGTCTCACACCAGTGTAATGACGCAACTCAGTTTCATATCTCTATTTAGCATTAGTTATTCGGGTGCATTGATTTAGTTGTTATAAGTCTGTCTCTAGCTAGTTATGGAACAACATGTTCAGATGCCAAAGTCTCCCAGCTTGCTGTTTTTGGTAATGGGTAAAATATGTGGTTAATTTGTACATTTCATCTATACTGTCTCATATACAAAGTGTATTGGAATAGTCCTTAACCTCAACCGTATATGTGAAAGGTTCTGTGAAATTCTCCTTAAGGAGGAAAAAACGCAGCCTGTCTCAGGAAAGTATTAAGAAGTTTTAATGTGGGAATTTGAGAGGGAGAAGAGGAAGGAAGGAAGTAAAATCAGGAAGCTGAGTCCGCAAGGATGAAGTGAATTGAAGTATTTCTCTTTCTGTTCAAAGAAAATGAAGTGGAACATGAAGACCTGACTCAGTCATTAAACCTTGTTAAAGATGTGATCGCTGCAGTCAATAGCAAAGTCAGCAATTACGAAAAGAAAATGCGTCTTGGTGAGATTTACAACCGGACAGATAGCAAGTCCATCATGAGGATGAAGAGTGGCCAGATGTTTGCAAGAGAGGACTTGAGGCATCGGAAGCTCATCCGAGATGGGCCTGTTTCACTGAAAAATGCAGCTGGCCGGTTAAAAGGTAAGATTATCCTGCCTTCTGCCAGGCAAGGCTACAGCTCACCCTCTCTGGATGTAGGAATAGTCCTCAGATTGGTGTCTTCAGCCTTTATTTATTCTTCTGCTTTGAGAGATTTTGACAGCAGCTTTCCCTGTGCTACATACTTCCCACCACAGCATTTCCGATTCCTCACATTGTTTCTGGAGTGATAGCTAGCTGCTCTTCCTCCTGGTGACTGCATGCCTGCTGAAGGCTTGGGTTGCAGCGGCACCTTGGTTTGTCAGCCAAGGAGTGGAGTTGCTGGAGGATCCTTTGGGCCAGGACGACGCGATGGGGGCTGCAGTTGCCCAGAGTAGTGAGTCAGATCTCTGTGCTACGATGCGCGTGTGCAGCAGTTCCAGGAAGCGTGCTTGCTGCATCCGAAACCTGACCTCAACTTCCGGGTGGCTCTGCCCGCCAGCAGTGCTGCCTTTCCTTTGCTCTAAGGTCGCAGTAGGGCTGTCCAGTTTCACTGGAACTCCAGAGAGGTGTCTCAGGCATTCATTGCTCTTGAACCTCTTGAGCTGCTGACGCAAACTCTTCAGAAAAGGCTCTGGTGTCCCTGCAGCTGCTTCTTGCTTGGTTGATGTCTTCTTAAATTGCCTTTTTTTTTTGTCATCAGGTGGAAATAGTTTTTCTCAGGTGCTGTGCTCTGCTGACCACTGAAGTTCTTTGCTGAATTAAGCACTAAATCTCCCAAGAAACTACTACTGTGGTCCCAACTGAAGGCTAAGAGCAGACAGGGCAGTGTCTCAGCCTTGGCAGGAAGGCTGGGCTTTCCTTCTCTTGCTCCCAGTATGAGCTGATTAAACCAGTGTACTTGGGCATGAATGGGGACTGGTAGCCTGGTGCCGTGCTGGGCAGGGAGGCAGTGATAACATGACATTCCATATCGGGTATGATTTATTTTGATGGTTTAGAAAGAGGAAGTGTACAGATGCTGGAAGATTACTATTGACTTTAGATGGTGGGTGAAGCAAGTTACGCTGCTGTTGTGAAATCTTGTGATAAGTACAGGCTGTATTTGCATTTCTAAGTCATAGAAATGCATAAACATACCTGCGTCTGTAGTGCAAGCTCCCAGCAAAAGCAGGTCCTGGAGACAAGCTGCAGAGCCCAGGGAGAGAGTAGCTAGTTCATACATCCAGGCTATTTTGCAAGATTTGAAATAGGGCACAGAGAAGTATAGGAAGAACTTTTCTTTGAGGCTTTTAGCATTTCCCCTCTTGCAGAGTGCACAGATGATAGAGAGGAATGGAGTTGAATGCTGACTTTTGCAAACATCCCAGAGCTTTGGGTTCATTTTTCAGCTTTAATTAAATTTTGGTGGTTCTTTTATCTGGAATGGATCCCATCTTCCCAAAACAGAATGGAAGGAATTACCCACGGGATGATTTAACTTTTTGGTTTGCTTCCTCTCTGTCACAAGATTTCCCAAGTACATTACACAAAACCTCTTTGTACTGAGGGCTCTGGGTGGGGCGTTATACTTGGTAGTTGCTGTGCAACTTTTATGATGTGTCATTAGGAGACTTGGAAAGCTGTACGTGTACTCTGGGAAAAGACTGTATTCTGATTTAAAATCCTCTGTTGGCTTGATGTTGTGCTTCCTTCTCCCGTGAAAGTAAGTCACGTCTGCATCTTGCGCAGACTCTGTCGGCTCCCCTTGGAGCGGGCAAGAGTTGTGTTTGTCTGTGAGCAGAATTTGTGGTGGTTCCTGAAGTCAGTATTTCCTGGGAAAGAAACAGCAGCTGACAAATGTTGTTACTGCATGATAATTTACACTCCGCAAACCACTCATCAAGAGAACCATAAAACCCAAAACTTCCTGTGCAGATATTTTGCTTGAAGGCTAAAATATTGATTGTTTGAGAAAACAGTGCTTGTACTGAGTAAGCGTCTCTAGCTTTTGCTGTTTTGCCCATGTCCTTAACTGTTAGAAGGCATGTGGCTGAAGAGGAGCACCCCTGCTCTGAGAGATGAGAGAAAATCCTGCAGGTTTCCCGGGTGCTGTTGTGTTCTGCTTCACACAAAGTCAGTTCAGAGCTAACCTGACCCGGCATCTGCAGGAGCTGCCCCTGCTCTTCCTGCTAACTGGGACGTTGAGCCTGCTTCCAGGATTTGCAAAACCAATCCTACTGCTTCCCAGCACTGGTGTTATTAAAAGAAATCTATTTTAGGGTGGGTTGCGTGGTTATACTGCACTGGTATGCTTTTTCTTTTGCAGAAGTCCAGGCTGTTCTCCTCTCTGACGTGCTCGTATTCCTTCAGGAGAAGGACCAGAAGTATGTCTTTGCCTCACTGGTAAGACTTCAGCCTTTTCTTCTCCTTCCTTTTCTATGTGAGAGACCCTTGATGGTATGTTGTGCAGCGAAGCCAGCCATTGCCTGCTAAAAAAACTTATTTTCTTGCTTACAACATTTTCATTCACTAAGCAGACTCCGTTCTTTTTGATAGGAAAGCATGTCTTCGTGCTCCACCTCCCCTTTCTGCAGTGCCTTGGCACAGCTGATAATTGGCCTTGAAAACCTGCCTATCACTTCATACACCTACTGCTTTTCAGTTTGTGCAAATTGGAGCAGTGATTGGGGTGGGAGGGGGCAATGGGATAATGAAAACATTGTAAAAATGAGTCTTAGCAGAAGGAAGTGTCCTAATACATTGTGAGCTATGGTGGCGGGCAAGGAGGTGAAATGCCACTGCAGTAACTTCAACAGAACAGCTTGAAAATAAGTGTCAGAGGAATATATTTGTAATGCACAAGACCAAAAACATTAGCTTTTGAAGGCAGGCCTCATAAAGGGGCTAGTCACACTGACCTGCCGAAGAAAACCTGGTACCTAATTGAGTCAGTTGGGGCTGTACCTTGCAGGCATGGTCTAGACTGGCTAAAACTTGTGACCTTTGTACTCTTTGAACATTTTGAAAGCTGGTAATTTGTTATTCCAGTTCCACCAATGATCTGCAGAGGCTGTGCCCTGCACAGCGGGAGCTGATTTGCACACAAGTGCTGCTAGTGAACCACTACCAAATCGCCTCAGTGGCAGCATCCTGTGAAATGCACAAAGGGGCTGACTCATATGCAGATGACACAACAGCAACGGGATGTTTTAACCAAGCAGGCTGATTACGCAGAGACCATAGCACACAATGCACGTCATCTTTCACACAAGTCTTCTCCATCATAGGAGTCAACTATGAGCTTCTGAGAACAGCAGGGGTTTTGTGGGATTTGAAAACAAGGTGTTACTCCATCTAGGGAGAAATTGTGAAGATAATGCGTGTGAAGCAGGTGCTAGCAAGCTGCACTAAGTTTAAGGAGCTGTGATATTAATGACAGAGTGTGGGCAGGAAGAGATGAGATCAAAGGTGTGCTGGGGTTAGAGCAAAATATGGTAGAGTTTGCAAAACCACAAAGTCAATTTTGAATTAATTCTTCGTTGAAATAGAACAAGGTGAAATTGCTTTTCCTACAGAAATGATGAAGGAAAGCAAGCTCTTCCCTGTTCTTTGAATCTATTAAAATGATTATTTTTTTTTAACTAGCCAATAGGTTCAGGAAATGTTTACAACCTGAGAGAAGTAGCAGTACGGTTATTGGGACCTTTTGAATGCTAGTTTGCATCTGGGAACTAGTCCTCTTCATCCTCCTCACCTATTTCTTTCCATCTGAAGGACCAGAAATCCACTGTGATCTCTCTGAAGAAGCTGATCGTACGAGAAGTGGCTCATGAAGAGAAGGGTTTGTTCCTGATCAGTATGGGTGTAAAAGATCCTGAAATGGTGGAAGTCCATGCCAGCTCCAAAGAAGAGCGTAACGGCTGGATACAGATCATTCAAGACACAATGAACACCATGTAAGCTACTAAGCTGTTCTTGCAAGGCAGGTAGTGCACGTAATCATGTTCTGGTAGTAATTGAGACATCTCTTTTGTCCAGGGATAAAGATGAAGACGAAGGAGTCCCTTGTGAGTCTGAGTTTGAAAAGAAATTGTCGGACGCAAAAGTGAGAGGATTGAAAGGTAAAATCCTGCCGGGGACAGAGCTGGGGAGCCGTTTTTGAAAAATTTACAGAAATGGTTGTGCTGGATTCTGTGATTGAACTATGATGTTTTTCAAAGGAGTGAGAATCCTGCATCCAGCAAATAATTGCAATCCTTGTTTGCACCTCACCTTGCTTGCATTTTGGTTTTGGTTTTTTTCTGAGCCTGCTGGGTGCCATTGCTGTGCAGGATTGTACAGGGTACGGTTGTATCATCAGGTTCCACTAGATGGGGCCAGTATCTCAGGAATTGCTCTGTTTCCTTGCCAAAGCTTTTTTCTTTCTTCATCTCTGTTCTCTGTTCACCCCCACAGAACAACTTCAGCAGAAGGATAAGCAGATCCTCCTTTTGCTGGAGGAGAAGGCTAAGATCTTCCGGGACATGGCAGACAGTCCTGTGCAGGAGGACATGCCAGGCTCCAGGCTGCTCTTCAGAGCCAACACAGAAGAGGCACCAAAAGGAGAGGCCATTATGAAAACCGCAATAAATGAAGGTGAGCAAGTCAGGGTGACATGTTAATCACTAACCAACAGACCCACCTTCAGTGAAGCTATCAGTCCTTAAGCGCCGGTTTTGCAGGGGAAGTCTTCTCTTTGTCAAAATAACAGCATAGATGAGGAGATACTGCTGTTTACGGTATTGTCTCAGGGACAGGTAATCAGGAAAGGAAGCAGATATTGATGGCTGTTGAAAGAGGGCAGAAAAGAAGTCATCGCAAAACAACCATGCATTGAATCTGCACTGGGGTCAGGAGCAGCGCAGGGTTTATCCTTGGCTGAAATTTGGACCATCCAGGCCTTTGCTGTGCCTCAGTCTCAGCAAGGTGTGCGAGTGGGACCCGGCTTCCAGCAGGTGCTTGTGGCATCTGCAAGGGACAAGCAAGTCTGTTGACAAAGGCAAGGGTAGATGGAAACTCGGGCAACTTTCCAGTGTGATTTTTGGAGAGGCTAAAAATTGTTAAATGCTGTTGTCAGAGCACACCAGGGTTGCCTGGAGGAAGAGAGGGAGGTGTAAGCCTGTGCAGAGCTCCAGGAGTTAATGGTCAGACAGACTGAGTTTTTGCAGGGGGAATGTGTACTGTTCAAATCATTGTCATAGAAACGTGGTTTCTTAGTACAGCAAAGCATGTGAATTTCTGACCTGAGCTCAGGCAGGGATGAAAGTAGCTCAGAAGCCTGAGGTGGTCTTTTAACAGAGATATCATTGGTTTTTTTCAGTTGAACTGCTGCAAGACCTGGTGAACAGGAGCCTGGGCACTGCCCTTGGACAGCAGGTCAGCAGCACCGCCATGGAACAAGAAGGAGGAGTTGGCCCCATCTCTCTCCCTAGAAGGGCAGAAACTTTTGGAGGATTTGACAGTCATCAGATGAACTCCTCCAAGTGTGAGTAGTTACATGTGTGCGCATCAACATTTGTTAATAATACATGTCATCCTCTTGCTTCAGAAGGACTCCAGCAGCTGGTGATTTGGGTTTCCCAACTCCTCTCCAATAATAGTTGATAGATTAAATAATGGATTAGGAAAAAAGCCTATGTACAGGTGGAACGATGGTAGCTGAGAACCCGTGGCTGCATGAGGATTAGACATCTGAACTTCTCACTCCTCCCTCTGTGCTCTCTCTAAATCATCCTTACTTCTGTACTTACATGCCACATGAAGGCATTTGGCTTCTTGATAGGTTAATTTCTTCATGTTGTCATTGTAATATCTGCAGCTCTGTTCTTCGTTCCTCGGTTTCCTTCCAGCAGGAGCCTGGTGCTAATGCATTTGCGAATGGATGAGGATATTGCTGAATCAAGCACCTTCTCCCCTGGCTCTGCTCTCTATGCATTCGTGTTCCACGTACAACTGCATGTGTTATTCCTGCAATTAAGTCTCTCCCAAAGAAATGTGTGAATATTTATTTCAGCTGCATAGTTGGCTGCTTCCCAGTGCTCTCTTTCTTTTCCCTAGTCATCAGAAACTTCCCTGTCCTCAAATTCCTCTCTCTGTGGTCTCACTCGTGCTCCCAATACAGCCAGTTTTGCTGCGCTAGTGTCTGTCTCAGCATTGGGATCGTTGGACCTCATCTGACCTTCTGCATTAAAGGAGCAGTGTTAGCTCCAGACAGTCAGACATGAGAAGTATGTAGAGGTTTTCCCAGCTCTATTGGACAGCTGCAAAGCCCTTCACAGGCCTTGTCATCGTAATGACAAATATATTCACACTGGAGGGGTTTGTTTAGGGTTGTGCCTCTCTGTGTTGCAGTGATGAATGGGACAACCTCAGGTTGTTCATTGCCCAGCTCTAGGTTTTCTGTAGGAATGTCCTCTTTTGAATTAGATTGTAATTCAATAGTTGTAGGGTCTTGGGAGACTTCGGGAAATGAATGCAGGGTCTGTTTGTTCAGCTGGAGGCCAGGAGGCATGAAACCCAGCTTTTATCTCCAGTTCTTCTGTTCCCAACCTGTGCAACCTTGGGCAAGGCTTATAACCTGACTCCCCTTCGTTCTCCCCTCCAGCAAAGCTGAAGGGAGGTGTTTCCTCCTGCAAAGAGGTGGAAGGTCCCAGGAGATGGTGCAGGAGAGGTCTCTTAGGAGGACTTGAGGGTCAGCCTTTAATAGCAAAGCCTGCCTGGGGGGTGGTGGGAGGAGAGGGCCTTTGCACTAGGTATGGTGTCCTTCACATTGCTGCAGATACAGGTATATGTAAAGTTGTTTGTCATTAAAAGAGTGGCAGTAGGGAAGTTACCACTGCAGGTATGGGTTTTCCCCATGGGCTGCATCTCAGCTGGCAAGGGGAGTGCAAGAGTCTTGGCAAAGGCTAGAGGACCAAAGAGCCGTGCGACTCTTTCGCAACCCACGAGCAGAAGGGTGGCGCAGGTGGAGCGTTGCAGCCCTCTTGGCCCCGCAAGTCAGTTCAGTCCTGCTTGGGAGCGCTGATATGAGCCATCCAGAGGGAAGTTAGAAAGAGAAGTGCAGTATCCCTTTGGAGATACAGGTGTCTGATAACTAAGGCTAAGGAGAAATTGTTAGCATAAAATTACACAGGGTATTGCGCAGCAGTATCTGACCCAGCTGTAAATTGCATTTGCTCAAGAGAGGCATTGAAACTATACCTGCAATAATATACCCTGCTATGATACTGTTGTTTTTCTCCATCTGCTCTTATTCTGCCTCATGTCTTCTCAGCAAGCGTTCTTTGGTAGCAGACAGCAGTGCGGAGGCCAGACAGAGCACCAGTTAATGGGAGCATGCCAAATTTATCAGCACGTTGTCTGCAACCAAAGTCAATCCTAATCTGAACTCACATCCACTTTCTCTGGTGGTGCTGACATGTTCTGTATACGTAGGGAGCAAAAGCATTTAATTCAAGTGTCAAGAGCTCTTTGCCCCTTTTTGTGAAACATCTGAGTTGCCTGTGTTAAATTTCTCAGACATAAGCAAGTTCATCTATGGCTTAAAATGTTGAATAACCAGTGTCAATGCTGGCTTCTTCCTTTAGGTGGAGCGAAAGATGAAGGCGACGATGCTCAGGACCTTCGGAGAACAGAGTCAGACGGTGTTTTAAAGAAGGTATCACTTGGTTTGTCTGTCTGCTGCCACTGAGTTCAGATTTCAAGAGAGTGACAATTCTAGTCTTGAAAAATGCCTGAATTTTTTGACAATTAGAAGTATCCTAATAAGCTAAAAATAAAATAAAATTGGAAGTATGCAGCCGAAACCGCTTTGCTGTAGCTAAAATCCTGACTTGAAAACCATTGCAAATCAGTTGTATTCCTTTGTGGCACAGGTTATCTGCCATCTGTCTGCAGATCAGCTAAAGCATGTGTTTAATTATGCGTCGTTATTGAAATGATAAGGTCAACTATAACCTTGCACCTATTCTTGCTGTGGATCGATCCATCATATGACTACAAAATGATGCCTAATTAACATTTTATTTTATATGATTTTAACTTGCCTGAAAAACATGCGTGAATTCGCCCAGAATGGAAGATGGAGGGGGGGGTTTAATGTGTCTGTCATTAGTTCAGCTTCAGAACACATTCGCTGTGATTTCTCATTTGTCCTCATATTAAATCTGTGATCTTTTCATAGGGTGGAAATGCAAATCTGATGTTCATGTTGAACAGGAATAACGAGGTAGGAATTGATTCCCTTGCTCAGCTGTTTCCTTCATTTAAGTGGCAAGTGAATTTGTCTCAATAGGTGATAATGTAGAAGAAAATACGTTTCATTTGCTGAAGCGCATGTAGACTTTTAAATACATTGAACTGAACCCCCTGTGTCATTTATTTGTTTAACCTTGGATGTTCAGACAGGGAATTCACTGATTGTCATCTGCTTGCCAGCAGGGCGATACATACTGATTATAGGCAGCAAGGGTTAATTACCACTAGGATGCGCAGGGCTGTATTTATTGTGCATCTGCAGACACAGGGAGTTTAATTTTACGTTGCAGGTGCAGTGAATTGGGGCAATTAGATTTCTATTCTCCCTTTGATACACATTCATAACTCCCAGTTAACACTAATGGCAGAATGAGAAGCAGTTCTCTTAATACTGGCTATCGCACCACTATTGCAAACGCCGCAGTGGTTTTCTTCTTCTTAAAAGTAATTGTAGGATATGAGAGATTCAGAGAAAATTTTAGCGAGGCTAAAAATATATTTAGGAATAGGGCATCACTCCAAAGTAGCTTGCTCTGTATTGATGCACGATGTGTTTGCATTCACCTGTATTTTCAGACAGCCTCCATGAACATACCTGCTGTACTTATGTGCCTGCTCTATTGCAGTTTTTCTGTCTAATGACAGTGGGACATGTATGGGTCAGCCAGGGGTGGAAGAGGACAAATAGTCCACATTCATTTTAAGATTTCTTCATTATTCCCCCCTTGAAGTTCTTTCCCTGAAATTTTTATGTGAATTGCTGGGTTTCATCCCAATTACTCTGCTTGTTCTTGAGCAAGCTGAGAGCAAGTTGATGCTGTGGGAAACCTGAGATTTCCCATGAGGTCTGTGCCATTTGGTGCTTCTGCAGATGTTTCTTTCCCTGCTGCACTGACAGCTAGGAAAGTGAGGAAGATGATGCCAGGCACCTCCAAGAGATGTCCAAGGGATGTATTGGTGTACTGGGGGATGACACAGTCATTGCAAGTGAAGAGTGAGAAAAATGAAGGTGTTTTCAGACCCACCAGTGGGTCACAGTGGAAAAGGAGGGTGCTTTACACGTACCCTGGCACCTAGTGAGATCTAATAGCAACGCTTTTGTTTTCTCGCAGCAGGTCCTCCAAAGCATTACCAACCTCCATAAGCTGCTCAGTGCTTTGCAGGTAGGCTTGGCCATTCATCCCGCCTTTGCATGCTGCTTACTGAACTGCACATCCCACCAGCCAGCAACAGCCACTCGTGCTTCACCACCCATCTCCCCTTCCCTTTTGCCTGTCACATCCCTGCACAGCTGAACACCCCACGGCCAGCTTGCAGGCAGCATGCTGGCAGGTCCTTGGAATGAGCTGCTGCCAAAGTGAACCGGTGTTCACCTGATTTTGGGAAGCTGCTGGGGGAGGTGCTCTGCCAGCATCCTCCGGTAGCCCAGCCGTAAGGCTGCAGTGCTGTGAATTTGGAGGCGGAAGAAGGGGCTCCGTGCAGCACCCTGAGTTTTTCAGGGATGGAGCTTCTGTCCGTGGAGAAGGCGCTGCAGTGATTTGTGTTCCCTCTCCTAGGGCGTCGTGCTGCAGCAGGACACTTACATCGAGGACCAGAAGCTGGCCCTGAGTGAGAGGGCTCTGACCCGAAGCTTCTTCCGGCCAACCTCGTTGCTGGAGCAGGAGAAGCAGCGCAACCTGGAGAAGCAGCGCCAGGAGTTGGCCAACCTGAAGAAGCAGCAGACACAGCACCAGGAGGAGAGACGGAGGAGAGAGAAGGAGTGGGAAGTCCGGGAGAAGGAGCTGGTGGAGCAGGAGGCCCACCTGGCCCAGCGAGAGGAGCAGATCCAGAGAGGGTGGCAGGATCTTGAGCGGGAGCGAGAGGAGCTGCAGGTGAAGAAGGCCTCCTACCAGCTCGACCTGGAAAGGCTTCGCACAGCGCAGAAGCAGCTGGAAAGGGAGAAGGTGCAGTTCAAGCAAGACGTGGAACGAGTAGCTCAAATGCGGCAGGAACCTGACCACAACCAGGTAAATGCTGCTAACAGCCGGGCTGCTGGGGAAGCCGTTCCCTGCAGGGAGCTCCCGGCGAGCTCCTGCTGCATGCCAGCAGCGATAGACTAATGCCAGCCCAGCTCTAGACGTACGGGGCCTGGTATTTAAAACTGGGTCTTTCCTTGCACGTGACGCGCAGGGCTGTGTTTGTTGCACCTCCAGAGCTGCCAAGGCATTGCCAGCATTGATGCAGCATGGTGTATTCAGCATGCCTGGCCAGTCCCGAGCAGTTGGTGGTTCCAACAGCCTGAGCTCTGCCTGCTTTTCTGTGCCATGTGTTGGCGGACAGCAGAGCAGAGGTGGATGACTTGCGGAAAAGATGCCCTAGGCAATCCCAGCAGGTCGATATTGCCTTTGACGTTGGCCTTCACCCCATGAGAGCTGAGGTCTGGGGAGTGATCAGGCAGATGAGATGTCCTTCTCAGAAACAGCCTGAGCATTGTGGGTTACCTGCACCCTACAGCAGTCACCAAAGCCACTCACGAGACTGGTAACTGCAGGGGAACACTGTTTGTATGCTTACATCCATCTCCAAAAGCGTTCTTGATATCTAGCAGAGATGGGCATTGTCCCTGTCCTAAAGAGACTTGGTGCCTGCAGTCTGGTGCTCAGTGAGCAAAGGTCCCCAGCTCTACTACAAGAGGCTTCTGGTGTCTGGCTGCCCACAACCAGAAAGAAAAGCCCCCACGCAGATCCTGCTTTGTGCATTTTTCAGCAAGCTGGGATTTATTATTTTTTTGTAACTGTGCAGCAGTCTGGCTGAGCACGGGCAAAGCACGGGCAGAATTTGAACCTTAAGCCTGTTGTTGATTGTTTGTTTAACTCTCTAATTCTGAACGTAATTTGCTTAGAGCTGTAGCAAAATTAGTTTATAAATGTTGGATTGCAGAATGGAAATTATTTTGGGTGCCTGAATGAACTAATTGCAGAGCTCAGCAGTGAGCTCTGAAAAGCAAATCATCAGAGGAGGGCTTGCTCCCTCCCACTCCGGTTCCTGATCAGGCCAGAAGTTTTCCGAGCACACAGTGAAGCTGTTCCAGCGTCGAGCACACGTAGACATGCGAGGGGTATGGATGCTATGGGAGAGGCCGAGAGGTAAAATAACTGTGAGGCCTGGGGGATCAGGAGAAGGAAATACCTTTTCGAGGCAGGTATCTTGCTGACGTTTCAGAGCTATTAATAGCGTGTTCGGTGAGGCTTTGTTGAGCTGTTGTTTTGATCTTCCCTTTGAATGTGCGGCCTCAATTACATCCTGAGACAGCCGTTAAGGGGGGGGAAAAAAAATCAGGAAAAATTTTTTTGCTTTCATCTTTTGCTCGGGAAGGCTTCCTTTGACACATGCCGCTCCGGTGCTGTGTGCTGGCGTTCCCTTGCCAGAGAGGCACGCTTCTCCTTGGCCTTCTGCCACCATCTGTGTGCGCGAACGATGCAGGGTGAGTCTTGGTGTTGAGATCTTAGAGAATGTTTGCCCTTGGCTTGTTGATACATAGCATAGTACATGTACGAGCAAAAGATACTGGAGCGTTACTCTTTATATGCCTCGTTTCTTTGTCTTAAACAGAGAGGGCTGCTTCTTTCATTGCTTTGCCTGGATGGGGACCACGTTTTAGCTGGTAAAGGGGCCGGATGTTTGCTCAAACAACTTCTGTCTCTGAGTGGTCTGGGAGACACCTTTCCTATCCAGGTTCTCTCCTAGCCTCTTTCATGCCTCAGTAAAACATTTTTCCTTTATAGGTTTCAAATCTACATGAGAAACTTGCAAGAGTCCCCTCCCAGTCCAGCATGGATGACTCCTCCAAGCAGAAGAGCCCTTCCCTTCCTAAACAAGGGCACTTTGATGCAGAACTGTCTGTCTCCCCCAAAAGGAACAGTCTTTCAAGGACACACAAAGAGAAAAGCACTTTCCATTTGCTTAGCACAACAAACCAGACTAACAAGGCAGCTGAGGAACAGCCCCAGATGCCTACCCGCCTCTTCAGTTTAGCCAAACCAAAGGACAAGAAGGAAAAGAAGAAAAAGGGCAGAGGACATCGCTCCCAGCAGTCTGGTGAGTGTCAGGGGAGGTCATAGGTGTGTTTTCAGGGTGAGTGAGCTGGCTTTTCCCTCCAGCCAGTGAACTTGTTGAAGCCACGAAATCTAGCCTTGAATGTGGATGGTAGCACAGAAGATCCGCTGTGATGAGTGGAGTTCCCAGCTTGAAGTGATCTTCTGTGGGCTTTTCTGCCTGTTCTGCAGCCCCTGGGGTTGTCAGAGCGACACACTCTGCTCCCTGCTCCTTCCCTTCCCCATCCCACCCTGAGCAGCCTTCACAGGCTGGATTCTCCCTTTATTTTTCAGCTTGCTCTGCTTCAGCGAGGAAAGTGTCCTGCTTTAGTCTATGTGCTTTCAGGAGCTGCTGCTGGGATGCCTCTGACTGTTGCGTCCCCTGTGAGTTGCTCTCTGCTTTAGCTCTGTTGTAGTTTGGAAGTGATGCCTGCAACCCTTCTGGTGGACTCTCCCTTCCCCTCGAGCCAGTCTATCTTGTCTCTTGATCTGAAAAAAACCCACACATTTTTTTTCTCTGTTAGTTTTGCATCCACTTAGGACTCGGTTCTGCACTTCAGACCTCTGACCCATGTGAAATTTGATCTCATGCCCTCAGATGACTGGCTTTATCCATATTAACTCACTGATGCTTTCCAACTTGTGCCCAGGAGAGTTCACCAATTACGAGATATAATTTCATAATAGCTCATCAGGGAACTGGACATCCCTTACGGTGCCCGCTGTATTTGGCAGACAGTGGGGTTTCAACACATGGAGTCCTGCTCTGCCTGCTGTATTCCTGTATTCCCGTAGTGATTCCAACCTCTTTTTTGCACTGCAGATTCTCATTCATCAGAAGCACCTCCAGAGGGTGAGGAGATCTTCTGCTGAGCACGAACGGTTCCATCAGTCACTCTCGGCATTGGTACAGCGGACATCTCCTTGCCTGCATCTGACAAGCATCTGGAGATTTTAAATAAAACATGTTATGAAGTCTGTTAAGTGGTGGGAAAGGGCCTCTCTCCTGTGGTTTTGCGTGAATTCTCACTGCAGAGGCTGACTACATGGCAAATAGTACCGTCTCTCTGTGCAAACCTTGGGTTAAATGGATTGGGATAGATGTTTTCTGTCTCTTCTTACTACTAAAGGATGAGAGAACATAGCCTTAAGGGGTCTGTGCCTTCAAATTCCCCTTTTCTGGGGAACGTAACCAAAACCAAGCATTTAGTGAAAGATTAGGACTCTACAAATGGTGCGTACACACTGGCATATATAGATATACTGTATATATACATATATGTATCTATGTATCCACTGGGATATGCTTACAGTCTGTACAGCCAAGCTTAGCTCGGCCCATGGGGATAGATGATACCTGATGACTTTCAGGGAGCGTGTAGATATTAAATATCTTGCCCATACTGCTCCGGGTGTAACGCCATTGACTTGCACGCTCCTTTTGTGCTCATGGTATACGGACTGTTTGGTTTCAGAAAGGTACCTTACACCAGGAAGCAGTAACAGCATTCGAAACAAAAATTCCGAGGGGAAAAAAAATAAAATTGAAAGTAATTCTGAAAGATTTCCATGAGGCAGAGGATTTAAATGTCAATCTGTTTCCAGAATCAAGCAGAATGTCTTTGGGTATGTTTAAAACAATGCAGAAAAGAGAAATTTGGTAGGCTTGTAAGGCAACCCCAGGGAGTCAGAACAGACAGTGTTCAAGTGGGTACAACTCTAAGCAACTTTTTTTTTAATGCAATCTCTTTGAGCTCCAGCTCACTCCTTCCCATCCCCTAAGTAAAGGTGATTTTTTTTTTTTTTTTTTTTTCTGCCAGAGTATAGTTCTCCAGTTGCATTTGACATCCTTTCATCACAAGCCCGGTGACTTACTGGAGAGATGGCTGAAAATCTGCTTTTAGGGACCTTTGTTCTGTTGTTTGTATTTTTTCCCCCACTTTTTGTGTTACCATTGGGCTTCTGTTTCTCTGGATTTTGTCAGCTTCCCTGGCTCGTTTCTAAGGCAGAATGAGACAACAGCAGTTTCAGAGCCACTTCAGTGAGACGTCATAGCTCAGGGGACCGAGTGCAGTGAGTGAACTCCAAAGAGGCAGTTCCTAGTCCCTCTGGCTATACAACGCCGTGCGCTTATTAACCATTTCTGGGGAGAGGATACATTCTCATGGACAGCAATGCTGTGGGAGAGGTCTAAAGGTCTAGTGTGGCAGGTCCCTTTCTGTCGCCATGGGCTCTAGGGTGAAAGTGTCCGTGCGTCCCTGCGTTGCCATCAGCAGAGGGGGCAGGTCTGAGGGTGGCTCCTTCTGTGCCAACTGTGAGGTGTTTGTACAGCTGTTGAATACAGGGATGTCTTCACCAAGGGAAGAGAAATGAAGCGAGCCAAACATTTTTCCAAAATTATTGTTCTTCCAAACCCTCTCAGGGGAATTGCCTGAGCGGATTTGTAAATGGTTACGAGATGCTGTCAGCTTCAAAATAGCTCAAGGGTTTGCTCAGAGTTTGAAGCTGTCAAGTGCATTTCCTTGCCTACCAGTTTTTCTTCAAGAAAAAAGAAATATTTCTCTTCTTGCACTATTGTTTGATTTCAATTTGCTCTCTCTGGCTTCTCACAAGCTAGTAACCTGCAGCAGTTTTCAGAGCTCAGTGCTGATGAGTATCGGCAGCATTGATGGTGAGGTGGATGCTTAGACTGGTCTGTCTTGGTCAGTGCAGGAATCCTAAACCGCCTGCTTGCTTTTGCAGCTCTCTAAACTATTAAGACTTTAAAAAAAAAAAAAAAAAAGAAAGAAAGGAAAAAGGTTTGAGATTTATTTTTATTTTGCTTTTTTAATATTATTTGGTGCTTGTTCTTAATTGCAAGCAGGGCTTGCAAAAATATTTATCTTTCTGTTTATTTGAAAGAGTTCTTTTTTTAAAAAGAAGTTTACTTGGTTTTATTTTTTTATTTCTTTTTACTTTTTATTTTGCTTTTGTTTGGGGGTTTGAGGGATAGTTTGGTTGGGTTTTGTTTTTTTTTTTTTTTGTTTGTTTGTTTTGTTTTTTCTTACCAAGAGATTGGTAAACCAAATATTCTTATCTCCCTGGTTACTACAAAACCAGGGTTTGGGCAGTGCTGCTTAGCAGCCCATGCCATGCCCAGAGTTAGAAAATTTCACCTGAGAGCTTTCTTTAATGCAGAGCATCTTTGGGGCAAAAAAAGTCTGGAAAAAGAAGCAGTGACTTTGGACAAGACTCCTACCATCAGTTAGTTTCTTGTTTAAGTATTTTTGTTGAAGTTTTCTCATACCTCTTGGAGGCAAAGGAAAAAGCAAAGCATGGAGCATCTGGCAGTGATGTGAGGGTCAGGTCCCTTGTCCAGGGAGATCCAGGCAGCTCTTCTCCTGAACCCGAAAGGAGACGGAGGAAGCATGCGCTGGTGTTGTGGTGTTATCTTTTTCATAAAAAAAACACCATTTTCACAAAATAAATTCTGCCCTGCTATTTGTACATCTGCGAAAATGAATGTGCCAAGCTGAAATTTTTGGAAACCAAAGCAGTGCATGGCTCATTTACTGTTGTGTAAATAGAGATCAGGTCCCCGGTATTTCTGAAAGTTCCCCTCAGCCTGTAATAACCCTTGCCAGTACGAGCTTTTCTTTTCATCCCGCTGTCTTTTCCCCAGTCCTGACACATCTTGAATTTGTGACACGGGAATGTCCCATGGCTCCAAGAAGGGTATCAAAAGGGAGACCCAGGGCAGCAGGGCAGAGTCTCTGCCTGGCTTGACCATCTCTTCTGACCTGTGCAAATCAAAACGAGCATTCAGTGCCCTAAGTGAAAACAGTATTTGCTAAGTGATCTCCTGAGGTCCCCATGGTTCCTTGTCAAAGAAACCACAGGCGGGAGTCAGAAATACACTGACCAGAAATAGTGCGTATCGAAACTGTTTGTATCTTAAATTCTGGTGGACAGACCTTTGTCCCTGGAAGATGTATGTTACTGTATGATTCACTTTTTTGGAATGAAGCCTTTACTCCCACACTGCTTCCTCCTTCTTTCACCTTTAGGAAGGCAAGGGCTTGTTTTTATCTCGTCAGCCTTTTATTTTTTCCCTCTCAGGTTTTCTTTGGAAAGGCTTGGCATAGGTTCCCAGAGTCTGATTCCCACTCTGATCCCTGCAGGTTGCCTAGGGTTGTCTGCTAGAGTATGGTCCCAGCTTTACAGCACCAAAGCCTTTCCTCTTCCTGGCCTTAAAATTGCGTTTACTCCAGTTCCATGCCTGGCATCCATCCTGCAGTTGATGAAAGTACATTATTTCTTCAGCCCAGCCTGATGTTGTATCTGGTTCCCAGAGCCGGTCCCTGGATCCCATTTGGAGCACTCAAACCACCCCATTTTGCATTGGGTTCCTGGGACACAGAGCAGGTCCAAAAATGTCTGTGCAAAGCCCGTATTGCTGGAGGGAGAAGAAGAGGGGAAAAATCAGACTTTCTTTTCTGGGGCTTTTCTTTATCACTGGTCTTTATCACTGCCGCAGGGAAGTGGGAGCGCGGGCTCAGATGAAGTACAAACATGATCAGTATTAGCTGGGGGTGCCAGAATGCCCCTGCGATAGAGAGTAGCTGTAGCAAACGGTGTGAGACTTGATGGAGTTGTGTGGGGTTGGCCTTAGCTTCTTTCAAATGAAGTGATCATCTCAACGTGTGATTTGATGTCAGTTTGATGCCATAAAGCACTTTAAATGAAACTGGTCTTGTCCCTTTTTATTTTGGTTACGTGGAGACAATCAGCTTTGCCATTGCTCCCCGCTCTGCATCCCCAGCAAAATCTGAGCTGCAAGTAGGCGTATTCCTGGTTTGGCTTTGCCCCGGGAGGGGAGGAAGGGCCAAGCTTTTTGTATTATTTTTAGACCAAAGTGGGTGTGAATCCAACTACAGTCCCACTGCAGACAGGGTGAGTGGCAGGACCAGAGAACTGGCTTCTGATGGCTCAGGTATATCCCCCCTCCAGAGAGCCCATGCCGGCATCACTAGCACCTTCCTCACAGCGGGTAGGGAAGCAGTCCCACCAGTGGTTTGCCCTCCATCTCCTTTTCTTTGGAGAAACTCAGAGCAACGGAGATGTGAGGGGGATGCAACCAAATAAGTTAAGCGAGGCCCTTTCCATGCACTAAGTTATTTACCTTCCAGGCCATTGGGAGACCTCCCAGGTGCCATCCCTGGGGCAGGAGCTCTCACCGCCACTGAGGGTGGACTCTTCTCTTCACTCTTGACATTTGACCACTGCTGAGAAGCACAGTAATGCCACTAGCTTGTGCAGATTTGCAAGAGCATCCATAGAATCTGATCATCTTTGCACCTTCCTTGAGGCACTAGGATATCTCAAAGCTGTTGCTGAAACACCCAAATCCAGTTCTTCCAAATGCCACTGAGTCCGAAGAGGTTCATCAGGTGCCAAATCCCAAGGAAGCTGTCTAGGATATCCGTGGCACAGGGCAAGGGAGGACTGGGCAGGGGGCACAAGAGAGTATCTGCTAAAATCCCACAAAACATTCCTTGTTAACCAGAACTCTGGAAATTATACTGCCTGCTGGCCAGGTTTGGGAATTTAACATAATTTAAGGCACCCTTTTAAATAAAAACCTCCCCTGCTGCTCATAACTCTTGCTTCATTTGCCAGAAGGGGCAGCAATCGATGATTCTTGATCCGGTGATGCAGCTAAATTTTAAAGATAGGCGAGCTGAACTGGCTTAATCTCGTACACCTTGTGCTCTTGAGTGATGGGAAGCGTAATGCCGGCTCCCTTCCCACCTGCGTTTCCAGGGCTGGGTGCCCTTTCTTTCCACATGCATTTCACTGACACTGATGCTTTGGCCCAGATATATTCAGCTTCCATTGCTTGGGAGGGAGGGGGGAACAGGACAACATTCACTGCTTTGCATACAGCTATAAGCTTTGTATGTATTTAAGCTGTCTATAGGTATCCATCCTTTCCATGCTCTAAAGTATTTTACTATTTTCTTTTGATACTAAACACTGACTCGAGAAAAATAATAAAAAAATCTATGTCCAGTTCAGTTCGCCTATGGTTAAAGTTTAGCCTGGTGTTTATTTTGTACTAATATGGAATGCACTTGAGTAATTCCCAGAGCGTTGAGGAGGTGTATTATAATAACCTGATATACCTCTGGTTTTTGTTTGTTTCTTAAAAAAAAAAATAAATAAAAATGCTTTGCATTTTCATGTTGAATCCATTTAAAAAAAAGTTAATAAAAGTTGAAAAAAAAAAGAATTTTTAAAAAAGAGGGTAAAACCTAATTGCTGTATGTTAATTTGTAATTATGTAAAAAGTGAGCAGGTTATTGACTGTAAAGTTCTTCAGTTTTTCTGTAACTTGCCAGAAACCATTAGGTTTTGTAACAAGCTTTTATTTATCTTCCTTTTTAGTTATCAGCATCAACCTCTTGTAAAGTCA